TCAGTTTAGAGTTTACAGAAAATCAATCCTTAGGAGGAAGGGAGTATGAGTGTAGTCTGGGGTGAGAAAGGGCCTTGGGCCCTAGGGGCAGTGGTGGGATCCTGCCAGGGCAACCACCCATCCCAGTTTTCCCAGGGTTTCCCAGGAACAGGCCTTGAAATGCTAAAACTGGGAAAGTCCTGGGCAAACCAGGATGCTTGATCACCCTACATCCTGCCCCTGAAGTAGTTCTGTCTCCCTAGATTTCTGGGGAACTGAAGTCATGGACTGACTACATTCTAGAAAGGTCCTGGGGAACAAGCTATCTGTCTTCCTAGGGTACACTCATCCAGGGCTCTGATCCCCAGGCTTGACAGGCTTGTGCAAGGAGCTAGAAACAAGGAGAGAGGACTTGGACCTATCTGTTCTCCATCTGGCACAGCGTTCCTAGTCAAAGCCAAGTCTATGGGCTATAACCTGGCAATAGAAAGGAGCATACTATTGATCCAAGCAACAGTACAGATGACTCTCAAAAATATTATGCTGAGTGAAAAAAAAGCAGATGCAAAGAAGTACATACTGTATAATTCCATGTATATGAAGTTCTAGAACAGATTAACCTACTCAAAACAAAACCAGAACAGTGATTGCCTCTGGGGAGTTGGGGGTGGAGGGGAGGGAAGGGGCAACAGGAAACTTTTCGGGAGGGATAATGATGTATTTGGTAAGAGCTTGCATTGTGCAGATGTGTGCATTTGTTGGAACTCATCGAATCATATAAATAATACCTGTGCATTTCACTATGTGGATATTTTGTTTCAAGGGAAAAGAAAGACAAACCTGTAAGTAAATACTGGACTCTAGTTAATGACAGGCATGCTCAAGTACTTAAGAGGGAAGTACCCCATTGTCTGCAACTTATTTTGAAATGTATCAAGAAAATAAGCTAGATTGATAGATGGATGGATGAATTAGGAGATGTGATAAACAGATACGGTAAGATGTTATAGAATCTAGGTGGTGGGTATATGGGTATCATCTGTATAATTCTTCCAACTTTGCTACATGTCTGAAACTTTTTATGATAAAATATCGTGGGGGGGGGAAACCTAAGTCTGATCATGTGACTCCTCTGCTCGGATCCTTTCCATAGCTCATCTCGCCCAGAATAAAAGTCCTGACAATGGCCTCCACGCAGGATGGCCATACATTTTGGTTATCACAGGTTTCACCTGTTACCTGGGCATAATTATTAATACATCCTCTTTTATTCTCAAAGTTTGATTGACATATTATGTGCCTGCCATGCCTATGAGGCCCTACATGACCTGACCTCGCTTCCCACTGCTCTCTCCCTGCCTCCCTCTGCCCGCCTGCCACACTGATCTCATTTCCAGGCACACTCCCCCTCAGGGCCTTTGCACTGGCTATTCTCTTGGCCTGGAATGCTCTTCCTCGAGATATCTGTATGGCTCTCTTCCTCACTCCTTCAAGCTTTTCTTCAAGTGTTTCCTCAGTAGGAGGATCTCCCTATTTAAAATTGCAATCTGCTCTTTTCCCATCTCCCTGACTCTATTTTTTTTTTTAACCAGGTACTTATAACTTCCTACAGATGGTATAATTTATTGAAGGTAAACTCCACGAAAGCAAAGATTTTTTCCATTTTGTTTATGCTTTATTCCCGGGGCCTAGAATAGTCCCTAGCAAACAGTTAAGTGCACAATAAATACATGTTGCTACGAGTAAAGGAATTCTCCTGCCCTTGTTGAGCGGCAGTCTGGTGCCAAAGACCGAAGCCAACACAGACCATCACAAGGCAACATCTGATGTTCCGTGAAATGGCAGAGGAGGAGGCAGGGGGCATGACAACAGAAGTCACCAGGAAGCCAAGCTTGGAAAAAAAAAAAAAAGAATGCATTCCCCCAGATGAAGGGAGGATAAGAGGGGCACTCCTGGCCGAGCAAACAGCATGAGCAAAACCCCACAGGTGAGAAACAGCGAGGTGCGATTATAAGCAGTTCTCAGGGGAGCAGTGCAGGGGTGGGGTGGAAGGGGCAGCGGGCAGCTCCATCCTGCCAGGAAGGAGGACAACGGCAGGGTTTTCGCCCAGGGCAGTATTGATGGGTTTCTGAGACTGCCCAGCTGCTGGGTGGAGAATGGACTGGGGGTGGGCAAGAGTGAAGCGGGAAACCCACCAGGAGGCACCTAGCAAAGAGGAGGGCCCTAAAGAAAGGGGCAGATGGGGGAATTACTCAGGATAGAGACTTGCTCATGGGACTCTGACTTCCGGATGCTCCAATCTGGGCCAACACTGGGGGATTGAGGGGCCATTTCTGGGTACAGGCGATGGGAGGGACAGGTTGGGAGGGGGAGGAGGAGGCCAAGGGTCTGGGCATCCCAGGGGTCTTTGAGTCTAGAGGGAGGGTGCACCACTTGGATGCAGAGACTTGGGAGCCATTCATTCCAAGAATAGGTGGATCTGGCAAGGAGCGTTCATGAAGAGAAGAGCTAGGCCAGGACAAGAGATATTTAAGGGATCAGGAGGAGGAGAGAGTGACAGAGCAGAAGAGAATGGGGGAGCACCAGAGGCCAGGACCTCGAGAGCCAGGGGTGGAAGAATTTCCAAAAAGAGAGCGTGGACATTGGGAGGGGGTGGGAAGGGGGTTGGTAGGGAGGGCATGGTAAGGTGATGACTGGTGGTGGGGGGGGGTCGCCAAGGAAGAAGTGGATTTTAAACCAGGTCACAGAGTGGATCACAGAGCCGGAGGGGGCAGGCCTGGGAGTGGGGACAGACTGCTGGGGTCTGGGGCCAAGAGAGGGACAGGAATGGGGGTGACACAAACTTCAGCCTTTCAAGTGTGCTCAGAAATGGACTCTCCTCCCCAGTCTCACCAACAGGCAAGTCTCTGGCCTCTATCCCTACACCCTCATATCCTCATCTGTAAAACGGAATAATAGGAAAATGTCTGCCATTTATTGAGCACTCACTATGTCTCAAGCCAAGGACACTCTCTCCCCACGTACTTCCTCATCTAATCCTCACAACACTCTCACCAGGCTGATGTTAATATTATCCCCAGTTTACAGATGAGAAAACTGAGGCCCAGAGAGGTTAAGTCACTTGGCTCAAGGTCACAAGTGAACGAATGGAGATGCCGGTATTCAAACCCAGAGCCTGTTGTCTGGGCTTTCACACTGTACTACTAACCCATAGAAGGCACTCTGCACTTTACAGAGCACTCACCTCACCTCCTGCGGTGGCTGAGGGGACTAGTGAGAGGACCTCCACACCCAGAAAATGCTGAGATTATTACCACATGTAGTAGGCTGAATAATGGCCCTCTGAAGAGGCCCACGACCTAATCCCCGGAACCTGTGAATGTTATTTTACATGGCAAACAAGATTTTGCAGGTGTGATTATGTTAAGGGTCTTGAGAAGAGTCTCCTGCATCATCCACGTGGGCCCAATGCAGTCCCAGGGTCTTTAGAAGAGGGAGGCAGGGGAGGCAGAGCCAGAGATGTGATGATGGAAGAAAAGACAGAGATTGGAAGAAGCCATGCTGAAGACGGGGAGGGGAGGGGACTGGTGGGGAAGGGAGGGAGAGGGGCCCAAGTCAAGGAATGTGGGTGGTGTGTAGAAGCTGGGAAAGGCTGGGAAACAGATATTCCCCTACAGCCTCTTGGAGGAACCAGCCCTGCTGATACCTTGACTTTAGCCCAGTGAGACTCATTTTGGACCTCTGGTCTCCAGAACGCAAGATAATGAATTCGTGTTTCTTTAAGTGACTAAGTACATGTGTGGTAATTTGTTGTAGCAGCAAGAAGAAATGAATGTACCACGTCACTCTATATCTGGCTCCCCGGGCCGGCCCTGGCTCAACTATTACAACTTTAGCTGCTACCAGGAAACAGCCCTACATTTTAAAATAGTTCTTTAAAGTTCCAGTTTGGTCCCTCTGAACCTTTTAACCTTTGTTAAAAATAAAAACAGGGCTAATGCACCTAACTCTACCACTTTGCCAGGCTCAGAGTGCAGGTACCTTGTATTATTTGAAGGTTCCCAAAACCACTAGGGCAGATGAGCCCTAGTTATTGTCCCCATTGCTCAGATGAACAAACTAGGGCTCAGAGAGGGGAAATGGCATGCATAGGGCCACATACCTAGTGAGTAACAGAGCCAGGATTTGAACCAGGACTTCTGACTTCAGATCTACCACACTGAGGTTCCTATCTCACATTCTGCCTCCTCAGAGAAGCCTTCCTGGATAGCCTCAGCACATTCATTTACTCATTCATTCACCGAACAGTTGCTATGACTGCTCTATGCCCAGTGTAATGCTAGATAAGGCTGGGGACCAAGATCGGCCTGCAGGAGCTCAAAAGCTAGTGGACAAGACAGACACATGAATGAGCCATCCCAAACAGCCTGATAAATGCCAAGACAAAGAGGAGGAGATACAGCAGGTGATGGAAGCCCGAAAGAAAGGAAACTGATTGAGCCAGGGGTCAAGGAAGACTTCCTGGAGGAGGTGGTGATTGAGGGGAGGACAAGTAAGACTCAGCCAGAAGTGTGGGCAGGGGTTCCAGTGGAGGAATGGCTAAGCAGAGGCAGGGGGTACAATGTTGTAGCTTCTTGAGGGTGAGGAACGGGTTAGGTCAGACCCCAAAGTCCCTCCGAGCCTCTGCGTTCCTGTGTATGAACGGGAATCATGGGCAACTGCCCAGAGCTTGGGTAACTGCTGGGCCCAGGGGAGGGGTGACCAGGAAGAAGAGGGGTCCTGGGATTCCCAGAGGAGGGCTGAGGGTCAGGAAGGGTCAAAGGTAAGGGGACAGGGCAGGGTGGAGGGAGTTTGGGGAGGCAGGGTCCTGGCTCAAGCTCCCATTCTATGTCTGACTCATGGTATGACTATAGGAAGGTCCCCTTAGAGCCTCAGTGACTCCATCTGAGAAATGGAGCATGAGACAAAACTGTCTCCAAAGACCCTCCCCAGCCCTGACGGGGAAATGACATGACACAAAATTACAAAAGGGTCTTTATTTGTAAAAAGCCAAAGGGGCCCTCGGGGCGACAGGACAGGCAGGCCAGCTTCTCAGGGGTCAGGGGCATTTGGGCAGATGCGCTTGAGTGGGGGGGCGCCCTCCGAGTCCTCTGTGTCACCCTGGGCTGCCTCGGGGACAGGTGGCACTGGCTCAAAGACGGGGTAAGCTTCAGGGGCCTGGAGAGGAAGGGCGGACAGGCATGAGCTCCACCCAAACCCAGGAGTGCAGCCTCCTAGCCTCTGCCTTCTCCAATGCCTCCACTCCACTCCCCTCCTGGACCTAGGAGTCTGGTCGGGGACCCAGGAAGCAGATTAAGTAGGGCACCAGAAACAACAACAACACCGTTTTGGGAAAAGAAGGTGATACTTGATATTTCTGGAAAATGCATCAAGGTAGTCCTTGTGGGAAAAGTCAGAAGTTGAAGGGGACTGACTCTCTTAAGCTAATTTTGATAGTTTAGGACTAAAATAAAACAAAATACTTGGAGGAGCACCACGATCTTTTCAGGCTTTTAATGATCTTAAATCTGCCCCAATCCAGCCCACGGGACTTTGTCTTAAAACACCCTTTCCTTTTCCGTCCCAAGAACCCAGCCTCTGAGACTTGAGCTGTGCCTGAGGTCTACATTTCCTGCCCGGACCTCAGGAGTGCAGCCCCCTAGCCGTTAGCTGCCCCAGAGCCCCCACTGCCTCAGAGACCCGGGAGTCCAGCCTTCTGGCCTCTCTCACCTCAGCCTCCAGCAATTCTGGAACAGGCTCCTCCTTGGTCAGCATTGGGGGTTCATCAGCGCCGCCCACGGTTATGCCCCCAGGATCTGGAACATCAAGTGAACAGACATGCCCTGAGCGGCTGCTCTGTGCCACAGCACAGGCCCAGGCTGGGGGACACTGAGGAGGGAACTGGGAACCTGGCAGCAAGCCAGGAAGAAGCCACAGGAAGGGCGTGGAAGTGGGATCTTGACAGGTGAGTAGGATTTGATCAGGGAGACGAAGGGGGCACATTTTAGGCAGACAGAACGTATGTTCAGTGAATACAGATTCTGAGACTGGACTCCCTGGGTTCAAATCCTGACCTTGGGCATGTGACTTAATTCCCCTGGGCCTCAGTTAACCCATCTGTAAAGTGGGGATAATGATAAATAATCACCACGTGAGACTGTGGTGAGGATGAAATGAGATGATATAGGTAAAGCCCTTAGTACAGTGTTTGGCCCATAGTAAGTGCTCAATAAAGGCCTGTTTTGTTTTGTTTTTTTTTTAAAGATTTTATTTATTTATTTGAGAAAGAATGAGAGAGAGCATGAGAGGGAGGAGGGTCAGAGGGAGAAGCAGACTCCCTGCCGAGCAGGGAGCCCGATGCGGGACTCGATCCCGGGACTCCAGGATCATGACCTGAGCCGAAGGCGGGCGCTTAACCAACTGAGCCACCCAGGTGCCCCCAGGCCTGTTGTTTTTATATTAGGAAAGGTACACCAGTGCGTGGCACCATCTGGACACAGCCCATAGGCCCAGGTCATGGTATTCTTGGAAAGGAACAACGAGACCAGCAGGGGTAGTTCACAAAGGGCCCAAAGTACCAAGTGGAGGAGTCAAAGGCCATAGGGAGCCATTGAAGGCTGTGAAGCACAAACATGAGCCTGCCAAATTTGTGCTTTAGACAAAATTGCTCTGGCAGCTGGTCGAGGTGACCGGGGGAGAGGAGACCTATAGGAGGCTGGAGCCGGGGGAGGGGGGGGGTAAGAGATGACTCTTACAGGAAGGTAGACACATTTGGGAGGTAGTTCTGACCAGGCAGGGGATTGACTACATGGAACAAAGAGGAGCCGAGGAGGAATTATGCCCAAGATGCTGGTGCACTGGCTATGTGAGCTTGGGAGACTTAATTCTCTGGGTTTCAGCTTCTCATCCACATATAAGGATCATAACCCTCGCAGGGCTATAGTGAGGATTAAATGAGCTAAAACATGTTCAGTGCTTAGAAGGAGATCTGGCACACAGAGCTCAATAAGTCTTAGCTGTTATTTTCACTTATTAATCACCCTCAGGAATATCACTATTATTTACTCCTCAACAAATATTTATTGAGCACATTCTATGTGTCCCATGTTGTTCTGAGCATTCAGTAATGAACAAGAGTAACGTGGGCCCAAGGTTCAGGAAGCTGACATGAGGTGGGAGCAGGGGAAGAAATCTGAGTAGTAAAAAATAAAATTTACATGAAAATCTCAGACGGTGATGAGTTATCTAAAGACCCAAAGAAGCCGGACGAATGAGACAGTCACTGGAGGTAGGACGGTGACTTTCTGCAGGAGTCAGGGAAGGCCTCTGGGAGGGAAGAACACAGGAGGAGAGTACGTGCAGGTAGGGGTAAGCTGGTGGCTTCAACTTTGCAGAAGACTCAGAGGAGAGGGCTGCAGGGAGTCACCTAGTCCTACCTCTCTCTTGGCCCAGCCGTGGGGGCTGAGCATCCTCTGGGACCCCTTCTGGTGGTCCAGCAGGTGACACAGGGCAGCTGGGCTGGGGGGTGCCCCCAGGGCTGGGCTCGGTGCCCTTTTGCAGAGAGCCTTCCGAATGGAAACTCTGGTTACTGTTCTCATCTGTGGGAGCAAAAGCCAAGAGGTTTGGGCCTGAAGGTCTCAATCCCCTCCTTCAATCCCCCAGCCCACACCGCCCCCCGAAATCCCAGGATCCCTACATACCATTGAGATCCAGCAGGATGAGAGGGCCACCCCCTCGGGGACTGGCGCCCCTGCCCCGTCGCTCCCGACCTCGGGATCTCTCTGCCCCGCCACCTGCCCTCCGTCGCTCCTGGGGGTTAGAGGGGTAAGGGTCAGTGACAGTTTTCCAGTTAGTGCTTGCAAAGCCCCCACTGTACAAATAAGGAAACTGAGGCACAGAGAAGCAAAAGGCCCTGCATGAGGTGACAGAGGCTGGCACCACACCATTGGGTTAGGTCTTGAACTCTGGGGTCTGAAGCAAGAAAAAGGGAGAAGGGGGTGGAGTTGCTAATAATTGTTAACATCTGTCTCGGCTGCTGCATTTGAGGTTTCACGGTGGGACTGGAGGTGGAGGCCAGCGTTGGGAGGGGCTTGCCTGGGGTCGCACAGATGAAAGGCTTGGTGTGGGAGAGTTTGCTCACCTCCTCCTGGGGGTCCACCACTGGCACCCACTTGAAGATACGAAGGGAAGTGTCGCCCACAGTCACCCAGCGCTTCTCCCTGTGGGAGGGTGGGGGGGACTGGGTCAGAGTTCTGAGGAGAGAACCCCCCAGGAGCTGAACACATCTGGGGAGACCTGTCGAAGTGGGGGTGGTGCGGTTTTGCTAATGGGGCATATAGTTAGAAGGAGAAAGAGAGTCCTGCAGACCCCAGGCCATACACAGGGGTGCCTCTGGGGAGAGACTACGGCTTGGGGCCATGGCTCTGCAGACCCCTGGGGTATACAAGGGAGCAAGGCTGAGGGCCCGGCAGGGAACCATAGCGAAGAAGATCCTGGGCATACTTGAAGGAGGAGTGTCAAAGCTCTAGGGGGCGGGGCATAAATGAGCGTACGGCTTGGGAACACGCTTTGTAGACCCTAGGGTGTAACCAGAACGGGGACAGAGCCCTGCAGCTCCAGGGCGCAGCTGGGGGGCACACCTAACACCTGGGGGCCACGGCTGGCGAAGGGAAGGTAGACGCATTTGGGAGAGAGTGGTCCCGCCAGGTCCCATCCCTGGCCCCCCGGGCAGCGCTCACCATCTCCGGACCTTCTCGATGGTCGCCATCACCTTCTTGATGTCATCCTTGGCCCGGCTCCGGGTCTCGGCCCGCACGGTCCGGCCGGCCATGCTGGCGGGACTGGGGCCGAGGCCGAGCCCGCGGCTGGGC